TATTTGACTAAAAGTAAACAAATAGGAAAAAGCCTTTAAATATTTGGCAGATATTACTCAGTTATTTCTTTATAAATTCAGATTGTTGATGCTCAAAGTCCTTATATATGGACTAAGTGATTTTTAAAAATTCTGCTGTTCTAATTATTTTCCTATATTCTATTTTCAAGGCTGTTGGTTAACAAAAGCTCACACCTCTTACATATAAAGTCTTAAAGCATAGATGCATTTTTATTGGAGGATTATAAATGGGTGATGTTTATTCATTTATTATCTGTGTAGTTTCTATTACATATAAATAACGGTTTTTGGCTGAAGATATATATATATTTAATCGATAAAGAAAACCTTAACCAGAAATGAACTTCATGATATAAAATGTGGTGGAGTTGAAATGTTTCTTTTATATGAATGGAATGATAACAATAAAAAAGACAGAGTAATGATAATATAAATCAGAGAAAGAATAAAACATCATGGTGTCTAAATAATACCAAAGAAGACAACGGTGGAGGAGTCAGTATACAGGAAAAATGCAAAACGTAAAAGAGGGGTTTGTTGTTACATTATGTTGCAATTCTGATTCTGGAAAGGCAGCAGAACAGGGGTCCTTGCAGGACTCTGGGCCAGATGCCCTGGGTCTGAATGACTGCTCTGCTCTTGCTAACCGTGCAGTCCTAGGCGAGTTACTGGGCCTTCTCTGCCCAGTTTATCACATGCTATATCCAGATAATAAAAGAACCTGCCTTGAGAGGGTCAGGGTGAGGAAAAACGAGTTTATAGATGAAAATTGCTGGGATCAGTACAGCACACACCATTTTAAAGTGCTGCATATGTGTGAGTGATGAGCTAGTATGGCCGCTCTTTACTCAAAGTTCTCAACGATTTAAAAAACCCCCAAACACTTTAAAAATGCTCATTCTTTAAGTAATCTGTAAGAATGTGTATTTTTTTAAATGACAATGGCTGTCAAATGCCAGCAGAAAGGTCCATTCCAGAAGATACCTATCTTTATTAGGGGGAGGATTGGAAGTTTAAAAATACCATTCTAACTGGGGCGGAGAAAGTACAACATAAGCCTAACATATCAATTTGCACCAGAATATAAGAAAGTGTTCAAGGAATCCAGGGCATTTATAAAAATCATTTAGCTTTTCATGATACAGGTATCACCGGTGACAAACTGTACAAAGATTGCTGTCGTTAGGTATGTTTTATTTTGACACAGTATGCTATTATAATTAGCTTTCTAATTCTTCAAGGTGAAGAAACATTTTGGGTTCTTGTTTATTTTCTTTAAGATTCATGACAGTATTTTATTTGTAAATGCAATGGAAGTTCTAAACTGCAAATCAAGATACACAGAATCTAAGTGACTAGGCTGGGGAAACAGATGGGCCTGGGTCTAAATCCTTGATTTACCTTTAACCAGCTATGTAATCTCAGTGAATCAATTCTCATATATCCTCTGAATCGTAGTTTCCTCGTCTGTCCAATAGTGTGCAATATCTTAGTTTGGTTTATTGATTTCATTTTTTTGACGATCTCAGCAAAGGTGTCACTCCTAGTGCTGCTCCATCACTTCAACTATGTGAGTTTGTTCTCTATGCTTGTCAATATGGGATTATTATCTGTTTATCATTCTAGTTTTGAGCAATTAGAAAAGTGCCTTGAGTACAGAATGGGTGCTTAACAGATATTTTTTTTGGATGAATCAATGAATGAGTGAACAGCCGCATCTCTATTTCTTTCAAGCTGTCAAACACGGAGCCCTGATCCTCTTGGCACTCAGTAACCCACGATGGTTACCAAAGTGTCCTTCTCCTGGACTCAAGGTCAGAGGTGAGCACGGGATCCAAACAAAATCAAACAGGGCCTTTCCCAGAGGTTGATAGTGAGAAGAGCTCTTTGTCTCTGAGGCCTGAGATTATCGGGCCCCGTGAGCCAGGAGCTGCTGCAGTCATTTTTCCCACCACATGGAAAGAGTTTAAAGGAGAATACAGCCAAGAGAGGAAAGCAGAGATGTGAGGTGGAAAACATGCTAGTAAACTATTGGCCCAGTCCTTGGATTCAATCATACCTGAAAGGAGAATTTTTACTTATGCTTCTGTAAAGTTTGATTTCTGTCACTTGAACCTCAAAGAGCCCCTAATGCCCATGTTGTAGGGTTGTTCCACAAAGTCAAAAAACAGCACGTACACAAAGCACGTCGCCTGGCACCCAGCACACGGTAGGTATTTAGTCACTGGTAACTATTATTATTTTAGCTCTCCCTAACGGGTGTTTCTGGGAACCCCTTTAACCTCTCTAGGCTTTATTTCTCTCACCTGAAAATGAAAGACTGGGTTAGGTGTTACCTAACATCATCACCTCTAAAATTTTATGACTTGTAATGACTTATGTTTTCTCTACATGATTAAAAACGCACCACAGTCTGGAGCCTTTAATCATGTTCAATTAAATCAGGTGTTTTACTTATTCATGCTCTACCTCCCCAAGTTCATCCAGGAGAAAGAACTAAGAACGCGGAGAATGGATATATTCCAGGGGACAGGCCATCACATCTTTTCACAGTGAAGAAGAAAAGGTCATTATGGCCCCTTGATGGGAGTTAAAAACAGGAAAGTGTTGCTCATCGGTGGCTTCTCACCTGGGCACGGCCTAATGTTGCACATGATCATTTCCACAGCAGTCCCTTCACACGGTCGCCCTCCGTGTTGAGCTGATGGATTATTGCAAGTTCTGGTCCTGGTTCGGTTGCCACGTCCACAGCTCCTTGTGCATTCTTCCCAAGGGCTCCATTCTGACCAGCTACCATGCACTGCACAAAGGTGAAACATTACACCATGAGATCATGAGATACATTTCAATTGAAAGTACTAATGCTGGGGCAAGGAGGGAATAAAAGGTGATGGGGGAAAAAAGAAGAAAGTAAATAAATGGGTGATAAATGGTGATGGAAGGAGACTTGAGGTGGTAAACACACAATACAATACACAGGTGATACACTGTAGAACTGTACGCCTGAAACCTGTACAATTTTATTAACCAATGTCACCCCCAAAAATTCAATAAAAAAAGAAAGTACTGCCAGGCCCATGTGGCTCATTGGTTGAGAGTCGACCTATGAACCAGGAGGTCATGGTTTGCGGGCTAGATCCCCAGTGTGGGCTGTGCAGGAGGCAGCACATCAATGGCTGTCTCTCATCACTGATGTTTCTCTCTCTCTCCCCCTCTCCCTTCCTCTCTGAAATCAATAAAAATATATTAAAATAAAAAAGAAAGTACTAATTCTGGGCCAACCCATCATTAGAAACCGAAATGAACACATGTCTATCTGTCAAATAAAGAGTAGTACCTGGACACAGTTTATGTTGGCAGTTCCGCATTTCTGAATCCGACCCTTGACAAGGCTTCCCACCATTGGCCGGATGAGGGTTGTTGCACAGGCGACTTCTCTTCTGGATGCCTCTTCCACAGGTGACACTGCAGGCTCTCCAGGCAGACCACTGGGAAAACCCACCATGAACTACAAAGAAGACATTCTACTTTGTCTCTGTTTTAGTAAACAAAAAACCTGCAAGTTGGATTTCATTAAGATGTGACTGGGTCGACAGCTAAGTCAGGAGCTGCTGAGAAATTGCTTAGGGAAGCTCTCATTTATGGCAAAATGGAAATCTAAGCATGAGAGAAGAACTTCAGTTAACTAGAGTTTCTACCCAACTCCAATCCTGACTCACGCGGACATGGCTACTGAAAGTACACAGCCAAGAAGTTTATATACTGTTTACCTTTTGAATGCCTTTTTAAAAAAAGCAAAATATACACATTAATTTCTGAGAATAAAGTGGACTATTTTTCAATCAAAAAATTCAGTTTGGAAATTTAAATGATTAACTTGGTACTTTTTAGCTCTAATCTATATTTAGTCCCTTCAGCCTGCAAATTGTGGTGTGCTTTATGTCCTAGCTCCATAAGCCAGAAGTGTCTCAAGGGTTAAGGAGGCTTTGGATTAAGATGCTTAGTAATCTTTAAGATGTGAGTTGCTCCGGGTGCTGTTTAATATGAATATCCATCTGATCACACTCACCTTGGACTGTGACTGGTACTCTGACCATGACAGAACCCATCAGATTTCGAGCAACACATTCATATTCAGATGTATCTTCTTTCTGAGCAGCAGAGATATATAACGAGTTGTTGGACAACACATTAACTCGGTCATCCCAGGGGATAGCGTGCCCTTGACGAGACCACATAATGGCTGGATGAGGCTCTCCAGTGGCCTGACAATTCAATATGACTTTGCCACCAACATTAATAATTGTTGCTATTGGCTCCAGAGTGATAATAGGAGCACCTACAGGAAAAAAAAGCACATAATGCTTCTTAGTTTTGGTGCAATAATATAAGCATTTTCATCAATATTATGTAGTAACATTATTTTTTAAATTAGGTTAATTTGTTTATAAAACACTGTAGCTTCTCAACTGCTAAGGTTGTAATTACCATTGATAGAATTTTCATAGCTGTTTTATTTAGTAAAAGTCAAAATTTTAAATCCTTAAGCAGGGTAACCTAGAGCAGCAGTCGCCAACCGGTGGTTTGTGGACCACTGGTGGTCCGTGAGGTCTGAAAGGTTGGCAACCGCTGGCATAGAGCATGGGACCTGCAGTCAAGGTTTCTGAATTCAAGTCCTGCTTCCACTCCTTACTACCTCTCTGAGATTTCATGTCCTTAAAGATGGTGCCTAGTTTGAAGGATTCTTGTTAGACTCCACTAAGATGATGTAGGACAGCTCTTTGATAAGCTAAGACCAAAAGAGTATTAGTACTATTGTTATCATTGCTGTTTTTTACATGACGAACATTCACATATTTCACTTATATAATTTTTGTGGTAAAGAGTCATTATTAACGTATTCTTTCATTACAAACCATCATTCATTTATTCATTAAACACACATTGAGAGCCTACTATTTCCCAGGCATTGTGCTAGATGCTGAGGATACAGAGATAACAGATACAACGTCTTCTAGTCTGAAGAAGCTCATAGTCTACTGATAAGATAGACCAGTAACTAATTATTGAGTTGTGTTTTAATATACTTATAGAATGAAGTAATAGGATAGGTAGAATACAACTTAGTAGAGTAGGTAAATGTGTGGAGACATGGGGACATAAACAAAAATACCTTAATAAATCACATGAAAGCATGTCACTGGAAATGGAGAGGAAAAAAGACATTCAAGAATTATCAAGAAAGTAGGAATGATAGGACTTTTTCATTGAATTGTATGAAGTAAAGGGAGGAATTAATGACTACAGGGTTTTGATTTGGGAAATATAGTGTATGTTGGGCAACTTGATAGAACATTGGAGGAAGAACAGATTTGTTGGGAGGGAGTAAGGAATGGTGATTTGCATCCATTTAGAACTGTCTCTATACTTGAGGTATCTGTGGGACATTGCTACAGAAATGTCTAGATGGAAAGTGAATATTCATTTCTGGAGTTCAGAATAAAGAATTGGGCTGAAACTACAGACTTGTGAGTCTTTCACATGTGGATAAGATTATTTCAGAAGTGAGTCTAAAATGAGAGGAAGAGGGCCAGAGGCAGAAACTATTGCAACATTATTATTTAAGAGATGGACAGAAGGCAAACCCATCAATGGTACTAAGAACTGATCACTGAGGTAGGAAGAAAATCAGAAAAAATAGTATCCTGGCAACCAAAGGAAGGAGTTTCAAGAAGGAGGTAGGGGTTAATAGTTCCTATAGTGGATGATACCTGCTCCAGTGAAGTCATTGGAGAGAATGTAAAAGAAGTTGTACATAGCTGCTGATTGAATATTTATCGTTTTACAAGTCTACAGTGTCAAGATAGAATATAAAAGACTTCATGGGAGTTAAGAAGCTTGACTGCATTTTCAAAAATGGGTAAGATTATATATAAGAGAAGGGAACCTATTGGAGAAAAGAAAATAGCATGGCCATGGATTTAGCTTTGCAAGGATGATTCATCCTGTGGCATACAAGGTTTTAAACATGTGGTTAAAATCTTCAAATGAAAATCACAGGATTTGCATTTAAATAGGTAAGCGAAGGGGAGTGTGTATATCCTTGAAGGAATATGATGGGATGACAGCAGTGTTTTAGTGGGATTGAGTTAAAAGGAAGGATTAACTGCTCAAAGAGAGGGAATAAATATCTGATAATTCAGGGTGGTGGCTGCATAGTTTAGATCGAGAAGTATATCTGGAATAATAGAACATAAAACAAAAAGATAGAAGTAAAATGTGTTTTACTGTGACATTAATATGCTAGTATTTTATGTAAGGATATTACTGATGTATTGTCTTTTCATATGAAGTTGAATCTCAGGGAGAGTCATTAATGTATTATTTATATAAACGCCCACATCATCCTACATAACTGCCTTCCTACTGATGTTTACATTAACCTCACTCTAGGAACTTTCATTTCTCTCCCAGTGTTCAGATTACATTATGCATTCAATAAGCTTGCTGAATAAAGTAAATACATCAGATTAATCACTCAACACTAAATGGCAACATAATGACCAAATGAGCTCATCTGCTCATGTTATTATGGTCAAAGAAAGTGTCAAAAAAACTCAGAATCTTAATTTAGATAACATAGTTGAACATTTCCAAATGCACACAAGGCCGTAAATTAATCCAACAATAAAATTCCTTATGTACACCTTTCAAGGTTGACTTAATTCCACCAGTCACATAATGATCAGTTAAACATGGTCATTTTATCTAAATGAAGACATGGTTTCTGGTTCTTCAATCTTAATTTTAAACAAATTATCTTTTTGGCTTCTTTTATATGACTCATTTACTTAAATGTGTTTACTGTCAGTAATTTTAAATGAGCTCATCTAATGCAGCCTGTCTTAAATCTGATCAGTGGAACACTCATTCTGAAGAGATTGATCATTCACCCAAACAAGGAAGGGAGAAGTTTTCACGGGAATAACATTTATTTGGGAAATGTGGCATTTTATATCCTCCTCTTGTTGAGTTATAACTCACATTAACATATTAACATTTTTGGAAAGATCTGCAATATAGAAACTTACTGCATATAGTGGGTGTTCTTTATATATATTTAATAAATGAATGAATGTTGTTTAATCTTTTTTCCCCTCAGACTTATTTGACCATCAAACTCAACTTTTTTTCTAATAACATTCCACAAGGTTATCATTTGATAAATATGCACTTAGCAAGATAATGGAAACAACTTAAGTATCTGTTGATGGATGCATGGATAAAGAAAATGGTGTATGTGTGGTGTGTGAATACATGTATTATATATATATGTATATATATGTATGTATATATACATATATATACATATATATATATAAAAAAGAAGGAAGTTCTGCTGTTTGAAACATGGGTAGACCTGGAGGGCACTATGTTAATGAAATAAGCCAGACAGAGAGAGACAAGTAGCATATGCTATCATTTATATGTAGAATCTTAAAAAAAAAGTCCAACTCATAGAAACAAAGAGTAGATGAGTGGTTGCCAGAGGGTGGAGGATGGGAAAAATGGGAAGATGTTGGCCAAAGGATACAAACTTTCCGTTACAAGAGGAACAGGCTCTGAGGAGCTAATGTACAGCATGGTGATTTTAGTTAATGATACTGCATTGTATACTTGAAATCTGCTAAGTGTATAGGTCATCAGTGTTCTCACCAAAAAATAAACCAAAACAAGCAGTAACTGGGTAAGGTGATGGATGTGTTAATTAACTTCTTTGTGGTAATCAAGTCACAACACTTACGTATATCAAATCATCACATTGTACACTCTGAATGTCCACAATTTTGTCAATTATACCTCAATAAAGCTGGAGGGAAAAGATTGTCTTAGACATTGTAAAAACATCTATTCAATGTTAAATCCTTACAGAAAAGTGGTTTGGCAAATAGCTGTTAGTAAATGCCAGTCAACAGCATCTCTCCATAGTGAAGGAAGAAGATGTAAATTCATCCCCTTCAGTATTGAGCCTATTCACTAAAGTCGGTTGGCTTAAGTTCTCAACTCAATGATGCTGTCTGCGGGGTTAGTCCCTGAAGTGGTTCTGGGGACTGTCCAACGGGCCTCTGGAGTCCTTCCGGTTTTTCTAATTATGAAAGCGCTTTCTTCCGGGGGCTTGTACTGAGGGGCTTCATGGTGAGTATGATAAGCCTGCCCACATCACATAGTTATTCCATGGAAACAGCGATAGATCTGGAGCACTTTTGAGGTCGTTTACACTCGTCTTTATTTAATACACACTTTTAAAGAGCCACAGAATGGCATCTTTGCAAGCACTTTACAAGAACTGCAGTGAGCAATAAGAAGAGTATTCAATGCAATATATTGCAAACAAACAACAAACAAAAAGCACCGCTATGAAGCACCTGTGATTTTGAACTGCATGTGTTAGATAAAATAGAGAAAAATGTCTGTGCCAAACTGTATCTGCCTGATGCTCAATAACGACGGCTCCATCAGCCGCAGATCATAAGAGTGGACACGCTCTGAAAGCTGCCGTTGATGTACCTGCTATAAAGTTAAGGAAAGTGGACATTCTTTAATAGGCAACATTGCTTTGATCAGGGGTTTAATTGCAATGTAATGAAGCAGCTTACTCTGCAGGGTCAGGCTCATGCTGCGCTCCGCCATCCCGGCCTCGTTAGCAGCTACACATGTGTAGTCACCGGCATCGTCATTCTAAGGAAAGAGCAGCGTTTGTGGAAATGTGAGCTTACAGAGCAGGGCAAATAACTTCGTTCACCATGCCACTAGTTTATATGAAATTTTCTTTTTGAGATGACAGTTTAAATGGAAATAGAAAAACCTACATATCTTTAACCTCATAAATAGATTAAACAAAAAGAAGTAGAAAAAGAAATTCCTCGCCTAGTTTTTTTTTCAAAACAGCTCATTATTGCCCTCTGGGATAATACTTACTAGGAAACCAAAGCAAAAAATAGCATTTTAAAATAATCATCTACCCAAAATTACCTTACTAAAGGAACATGTTGATGCTATTCTTATAGTAACTTAAAAACATTAAAATAATCAGGACAAATGAATAAATATGGAGTCTTTTCTAATGGGGATTAGTTCAAAATATAGGGGATAACCAACAACATCTAATGCTAAAACTAAAAACCAAGGAGAATAAAGAGTGAGAGCAGTCACTGGATTAGGTGATTAGATAGCATATTTTAATTATTATTTCAATTAATTCAAAAACAGGTTAACAAATTACCCATATGTAGTCTAGCTGATAAATTTTTAGATAAAATATTTCATTCACATGACCATCAAATTAGAATAACTTAAAGCACTACTCATTTTCCAAATTACTAAAGTTTTTGGAAAGCCTAATATATAGTTATTGACTTAGTGATGAAAACTGCCCTAAAATTTGTTTGTAATTGTGTTTGTAATTCTTCAATTTCCTGTTCTACTGTTGCTAACTAATAGGCCAATGATCAAGAACAAAGCAGAAAAATTATTTTATGGCTCATACTTCTTCGAAAGGCCTAAAAAGAATAGCTTTGAACCACTGTTTCAGTTTTTTTTATAACAACCCACTGATTCAGATTTTACTATTTAAATAAAAATGCAGGAGAAACTTTTCCCATCCATGGCACCTAAAGAAAGGCATCCATTGTGGCAGTTGATCAACAATTCCAGTGCGACTTACTACGGTGCCATAAATGGCCAGGGAGCCATTGCCAAGTTGGTGGATTCTGTGGTTAATTTCAATATCCACCCCCTTTCTGCTCCACTGGATGGTTGGGGCAGGATCGCCTTTGACCTCACAGTTCAGAATTGCATTTCCGCCAAGTGGTTCAATCCAATTAGAAGGGTAATCACCTTTGAAGACTGGAGGTTCTGGGAAAAAACACAAGGCAAGTATAAGTAAAAGGAAGCTCTGATCATTTCTTTGTGATGTTGAGCTATTTAGAAAGGTCATTTAGAGAAGGGTACAGCCACTTTCAAACCCCATGAATTTTCCAAAATCAACGGCTCGTGCTAATCAACTGGATAATCTCACCAGTTTCAGATGGTTACACTTTGTGCCAAATGATCTCCTTACTTACTGCTTACCTACTTTGAGTTGCATGTTCAAAATATTCTATTTCTTATGAATTTGCGTATCTGTGAATTAGGACTAAATGGATTAACAAACTGAAGGTATGGTGTGTAGTACTACATAATAAGAAAGGAAAATGCAAACCATCTATTATAAGTAAATTATGAATAAAAAATAGAGCACTGTTACCTACCTTTCACATAAACAAATCCAACTGCCTTCACAACACCCATGCTGTTCTCTGCAGTGCACACGTAAGTACCCGAATCCTCTTTGGAAACCCTTTCAATAACAAGTTCACTGTGTCCGTTGACACTGTCAAAGTGGGCTGAGAGAAACAAGTTAGGGAACAACACAAATGCCTCTCAGTAACCTAGGAAGACAATCACAACAGCTCCTATTTTGCAGGTTAGATTTATGTGTTAGTCAGCAATTGCACCCGAGAGCTCATCATGACCTTGGAGAAGAGAGCCTTTCCCACAGATCCCTTCCTCTGGGCTATTTGCTCTGTCTATAGATGCTTGTTTGAAGAATGAAAAGCAGGAAAAGAGAGTGAAAATAAACATTTTCAAAATTATTTTAGATTGAAAATACACCTTTCATCTCCAAGTGTTGCCTAAATCTGGTTCACAGTCTCTCTGGGTTTCAAAAATCTTTCACTCAGAAATATGACATTTTCCATTTAATTTATCTCACCACCACTTTTCCTCCCAAACATTTCCATCAAAAACATGAAATTTTTTTCAGTTACAATTCAACTGACTTGGCAGGTCAGAGGGAATGTCTGTACACCAGGAAGAAGTACACCAGTTAGGTAATGACAACATGATTAAATTTGTAATAATTTAAACTTCTCCATAATCAGTGGTGATATAAATACTTACAAAGGTAGTTATAACATTTGGAGTACACTATAAGGTTAATCTTAAAGCAACTGATACTAAATAAGATTCTGATTAGACTAGCCAATATCTAATTATATTAAGTATATATTTATCTTGCATGATTTTCCCAAACTACCTTTTAAAATTTCATACTGCTGAACATTAAGTGAAAATTTAGGCTTTAAAATTTAGAGCTAAATAAGTACTACACCTTCAGAAAATAGTACTTAAGATGTTTTTGTACGTTATTTTCCTTTAGTGACATATACTATTATTATTAATAAAATACAGTTGATGAATTCGTCATTAATATAAATATTTGTAAAAGAAAGATCTAAAGTTTATTATTACATTTCTAGAAAGATATTTATTAAATTCTAATAGTGCAGGATTTCAGAGCTCAGTTTTGGACAAGTTTTATGACGGCACCATCTTTATGCTCATAAGAAAGTCTAACAAATAAGGAGATATTTGTCGTCTCAGGTCTTGAGTTCCAGGCACTAACTACATCAATATGTAGTGCACATATTGACTAGAAATTTCTACATAATCAATCTACACTGTAATAGAGATTAATGCATACAGTGAGAAGCCAAGTTCTCTGTAAAATTAAGACTCTAATGGTAGCCAACTTAATTCATTGATCAATGATGAAGGAGATCCGGTGGGGATAAATTTAGGTGCCAGTATTTATAATACACTTTTCTCCTGGGGGAGACAGATTATTTTTAGGTTAAAAATATCTACTTATGTCCTGCAATATATGGTCCTGTGACCAACTTATCCTTTCAAAAGAATGGCAAGAATATAATATAAGAGGTACAGGTGAAAATCCAGACCATGTTACACATTTTACAGAACGTGGAGCAATCAATTCTTTTTTAAATTGTTTCTGTTTTGATTTTTTCAGAGAGAGAGAGAGAGAGAGAATGAACCATTGATTGGCTGCCTCTTGCATGCCCCCCTCCAGGATCCAGCCTGCAACTCGGGCATGTGCCCCAACCAGGAATCGAACTGGCAACCTTTCAGTGCATGGGATGATGCCCAACCAAATGAGCCACATCAGCCTGGGCGAGCAATCAATTCTTCATGTAACTTTCAATCAATTCCCATAGCTAAAGGAATGAAGAATGGATTAGAGTTCTTTGTGGGCGTATTTCTTCTCTTCTGAAGAATTAAATTACCAACCTGGGATAATATTGTTGTTGAAGGTCCATGTTAACATGGGCAGTGGAATACCAGTTGCTTTACAGCTTAATCGTAGCTTTTCTCCTTTATTTAATGACACATCACCAGGAAGTTCAGTGAAAGTGGGGAGAACATGGACAGTCAGGCTGACAGTGTGTGTGTCTTCACCTGCAGCGTTGCTTGCAACACAGGTATATGTGCCAGAATCCTCCAGCTTAAAGAAAGAAAAGTCACAGTGCTTAAAATTACATAGTCTCACATCGCATTAGACAAAATACATAAACCTGCACAGCTTGGTCCCCAAAGGAGCATTCTTATATAAAGACAGTTTAAATTTCTATTTTGTAGTCTGCCCCAATCTGTCTAGCTTTCGGCATAATATAAATTAATATGTATACGAATTTAAACAAAAGCCTGTACCTTATAGAACTCTAGCATTTTATGATCCTAAGAGCCCAGAAAACTTTAGATTCTAAAGTTTATCAAACAGCTGGTGTACTTCTGCTCTGCATTGTGCAAATACAGAACAAGTAATTCTAAAGACTGGTTGCGTCTTGACAGTAGAGTTGGCGCTCTGGTTAATGTGGCACCAAAGACTACGAACTTTTTAAAGGAAATAACAAGAGTACGGGCAGTATTACCTGCAATTCTGAAGTTTCACTTGCTAAATCCAACTGCCAAGTTCTTGGCATGCATCTTACCATCATAACTAGCTAGTCCTTAATATTAATAACAGGAAAGGAACCAAGGGGAGGCCAGACTTTATACTACACTTGATCTTAGCCAAAAGGCCGAGAAGCGATGAGGCCAGACTTTATAAGCCTCGTCATCTGGGCAGCTTTACCAGGAAGCTGCAGTTTTACACTTCCACCAGTCCCTGCCCTGAAGATCACTGGGGGAAGAGACCAGCCAAAGGGGAAATGGATGCATGCATAGTGAAGTAGGAAAGGTGCTTGTCTCTCATTCTAACCTAGAAAAAACATACCAGGGTAATTGGCTAAAAGGGGTGGAGCCACTGCGCAAGCCCGTAATCTTAGAAAGGGTAAAATCCCCCGATAAAGCAGTTTATTCTCTTGTTCCTTGCTTCTCTCCTGCTTCCTTGCACTCGCCCAAGGGCTAGCCTGCCATGTGGCCCCAGAGCAGATATGGCGAACCTATGACATGCGTGTCAGAGGTGACACGCAAACTCATTTATTTGGTTGATTTTTCTTTGTTAAATGGCATTTAAATATATAAAATAAATATCAAAAATATAAGTCTTTGTTTTACTATGGTTGTAAATATCCAAAATTTTCTATATACTACACTTGATCTTAGCCAAAAGGCCGAGAAGCGATGAGGCCAGACTTTATAAGCCTCGTCATCTGGGCAGCTTTACCAGGAAGCTGCAGTTTTACACTTCCACCAGTCCCTGCCCTGAAGATCACTGGGGGAAGAGACCAGCCAAAGGGGAAATGGATGCATGCATAGTGAAGTAGGAAAGGTGCTTGTCTCTCATTCTAACCTAGAAAAAACATACCAGGGTAATTGGCTAAAAGGGGTGGAGCCACTGCAAGCCCGTGAAATCTTAGAAAGGGTAAAATCCCCCGAGAAAGCAGTTCATTCTCTTGTTCCTCGCTTCTCTCCTGCTTCCTTGCACTCGCCCAAAGGCTAGCCTGCCATGCGGCCCCAGAGCAGATATGGCGAACCTATGACATGCGTGTCAGAGGTGATACGCAAACTCATTTATTTGGTTGATTTTTCTTTGTTAAATGGCATTTAAATATATAAAATAAATATCAAAAATATGTCTTTGTTTTACAATGGTTGCAAATATCAAAAAATTTCTATATGTGACATGCCACCAGAATTAAGTTAGGGTTTTTCAAAATGCTGACACGCCGAGCTCAAAAGGTGCCCTAGAGGCTGCATGGTCTATGGCCATGCAGCCCCCACATAATGGACTGCAGCTGGGAACACAAGCTAAGCTAGCCTGATGCTAGACTGGACTGTGCAAATATGGAGTGGAAACTCTGGACCCTGGCTTTAATCCTCGCTCTGCTGAAGATAAAATGGGACTTTTCCTTGGGCAGGATGGAGCGAGATGGGGCCTCGGAAATTCCGGGGTTTCATTCCATAGAAAGAAAACTTTTCACAATACCTCATCTTCTGGTGGAGGCCTCAGGAAACCCTTATTCCTGTGGCACCCCAAGAAGCCCACTTCCACCAGTAACAGTTGGGGACACAGAGAACACCCCACCAATAACTATCTTACTGGATTTATTGGTGGCATGTGAAAAAACTATGACTCTCTTCTCTTTGAGACCATGTCTTCACTTGGCTTCCTGGATACCCAACTCCCCTAGTTTTCTTCCTATCTCACTGGTTGCTCATTTTCCATTTCCTAATGTTGACTTCCCCTCAACATTACATCTTAATGTCGCCATGTGAAGGGTCCCAGTCACTGGCTCTCTTTTCTTCTTTATCTGCACTCAATTCCTTGGTGCACTCATACGGACTTATGGCTTAAAATACCCCTCGATATGAGTACCAGTACTTCCAGCTCAGATCTCTCTTCTAAATTCCAACTATACTGAACTTCTCATTTCAACTCTCTGCTTGGATGCCTAAAACTGAACTCCCAATTTCCCTTTCCCCCTTCCTGTTCTAGCTTAACTTTCAATCTCTCTGATATTGGAATACAACTTCAAAACTGGTCATCTGCTGTAGTTTGCTTGTTTACATTTTTTTTCTTAGTGGCACATAAAATAATGATCCATCTTACTACTGAAGGAACTTTAGATTTGAAATGAGACTTTTGCTGGCACATGTGATTGAGTTAGGGCCTACTGACCTAGCCTACCAGTAGGGCTATATACCTGGTAATCCCAGGGGTCTGATTCATATAAAGTAAATGGGATCAGCTTTATCATTTGAATATATTCCTCCTCAAGGGGGCAACCAGTGAAAAACCGAGATGCTTTGATAGCTACGATTCTGTAGACGGATGAGGTCCCACCTGAGAATAGGAGAAAAACCTCAGCGTGCATAGATCCCTCAGACTTTAGTTTCCTTGTCAATGATTAGAAAGGGTTATTTAAAAACCTTGAAAGAGCCAGAAGACTATTTTTTATACTTGTTTAATAGCATATCAGACTTTCTTACATCTCCATTCTCCTAATTGTTCCCATACATGGTTATAAGTATGGAATATAACAAAGACACTTAGAATTTTTTTCTGAGAAAATATTTTCATAAAAAATAAAGTAACAATTTTAGAAGGAGGGCATTCATGAGTTCCTACTCTCTGTTTAATACTAGTCTTAGACCTGGGACATAAAATAAGTGTAAAATTAATTTTATAAACTGAATTTATAGGAGTATTTTTCTTTCATTATTAAAAAACATATCTCCAAGTTAAACTATTAAAAGCTAAGAAGATAAGTCAACAATCTGGCTCAATGTACTATCCATGTCTGTTACACTTACCACAACATTCTCCAGAATGAGTTCTCCATAGGGTTCAACAGTGTATTTTCCTAACAAATTGGCTAAAAGAACATTGTCTTTTTTCCAGTGAATTGCTGGTGTAGGGATTCCATCAGCCACGCATGGAAAAACAGCCTGTGAATTCTCACTGACCGTGTAGTATACTTCCATACTGCGAATTTTGGGTGGCACTACGAAGAGTTTAAAATAGATGATCATTCAGGGTGTTGAGTTCAATAATGTATTTTTTACATTGAAAATTAGCACAACAAAGAGTCTTTGGAAGGTAAATTTGCTAGAAATACTAAAAAAATCTATTAAGATATTGATTTGTTTGTTACTATAAAACCAATCAACACTTTTGATGCTAGCAAGAACTGTCATGGTTTTGAACTTGTTGAGTATTTTACAGTTTCAGGGCAAATGACTTAGGGCAGGGTTGAATATCTTTACATTTTATTTGACTTTCTTGAGTTTCTTTTCCTTTTGCAGTGAAGTAAAAAAACAACAACACCAAACATGCTTCTATTGTTGTAAACTGCTGGATTTGTATCAGAGACATATTGTGAGAATGAACTAATGGAAGTTATGAGTTTAAACACTGTAAAACAGTGCCCCATACTGAATATCACAAAATGCTAAAGAAAAAATAAATTATCGCAGTATTTCACGTGTTACAACAGACAAAAGTAAAAGCAGGTCAAGACATTTAATTCAAGTTTTATACTGTCACAAAGGAAATTTATAGTGATTTCATCACTCTGTGCATTGTGATACCAAATATTTCCTGTGCCTCAACTTTTTGAACTAGAATTTTGGCAATAAAGATAAATTGAATGTTTCGGTATACTAATAAAATACTTCAGTGGATGTAGAACTAAGATATTCTAAAGGAAAAAGTCTTTAAAGTTTTAAGAATATTTGGATCAAAAAGTAAAAATATCTTCCCTCCCAAAACAATGAACTTTGAAATTATTCAAATACATCAGTGAGAAATGGATCCATTATAATACCCTTTAAAAAGTGACAGACAACAGTTGGTCTCAGTAAAAGTAAAGCTATTGTGTAAACTCCAATTTTTCATTCTTTTTATAATTATATGAGAAAATATACAAACATGATTGAATGAATATATGCATAAACATTACAAATATGAAAAACGTAAGAACCTATTTTGTTTAATGGTACATCATAAATATTCAATTCATTTTTTATTGAATCTGTATTTTATTGAATGCTGTATTTTTATTATCTCCTTTACACGGGTTTCTTTGGAGTTATTTACTTTGTTAGTTGTTATAGAGTTCCAACATTAGTACATTTACTTCAATTCATTCTTTTTCAAAATGGATAATTTGACGCTATGCCTTTATATTTCAGTTTCATTTTGGCCATACACCATGCATTTTGATATACACTGTCCTTATTTTTATTATTTTCTAAATAATCTAAAAATGAAAACATATTATTGAACCCACTTGTTAGTTAGAATGGTATTTTGTAATTTGCTTGGGGTTGAGGTTTTGGCATTAAGAGTTCATTACAGATGTCCAGCTTTGTGGGCAGGAATTGTGGCATGTGTTTTAAAATCTTAATGATTTATTCATTGTTTAGTATCTGGTAAATTTTGGTAAGTTTTCTATAAATACGAAAAAATAAGGAGTGTTATTTATTTATTAGTTCCTTATTTATTAAGAGACTAATATATATATTGATTAGATCAAATGTATGAACCGAAAGCAATATATTTCTTCGGAAAGAAATGTAGAAAACTCATAACGGCAATTTTTTTGTTTTGGCTAAATTATTCATTTATCAATTAAAAGTGATTTCACTTGGACTTTTATTGTAACTATGAAGCTGTAGGAAATTCAAATATAGCTGAAAAATAAAAATAACTTTCACAAACTTTTGAAAAAAAAGCAGAAACTCATTATTAAAACAAGAGTAACTACTTTTAGCAATACTAATATTACCAGTACTAATAATAGTTCTGGAAATAGTAGTTAGAAGCAGTTTGATTTGCTCACTGTTTCCTACCACTAAAATTAATAGTTAATCTATCATTAGTCTTATAATATATATTAACAACTAAAATATTCCAATACTGATCTTTTAGATATTGTCATTGAATACAAAGGAAAACTGTTACAAAAACTATACATGTAAATATTTTGCTACTTTAAAATAATGAATCAAATAGATCTCCAATTCTCATCGGGTTCACACTATATTTATAACGTAGGTCGTGGTGATTAGTTTGGAGATGACTTTCGACTAGAGAAGTGAAGCAGAAGAGTCGCAAACACAAATGGACTTCTCATAAGCCAAAGTACAGACCTCAGTGATCACAATATGAGGGGATCACTGGCAGCATATTAACTATCCTGGACACATTATTAATAAAGTATCTCTTTCTCACATACAAATAAATGCCTACAGAAAACAGATTTGAAGGGCAAGTGTACCTGCAGCGCGCAGACACACACACACACACACACATACCCTCTACATTAAGAACTCTTGGTTTTGCATGGTTTTTATTTCCATCAGAGGTTTTCTTGGGGGCCTTTTCTCTTTGCCATGGTAATGTTGTAGATTGAAATAATTTATGTGAAACCACCTACCGTGGACAGTGAGCTTGGTGCTCGAGCTGCTAGATCCTGCCACGTTAGCTGCCATGCATGTGTACTGGCCGGCGTCCTCCGGCTGAGCAAAGGCTATCTGCAAAGCCCCGGAGCTGAGGGTGCGCTGGCGGGCTGATTCCACAATGGCATGGCCACCTTTATGCCACGTGATGTCAGGCGGTGGGAGGCCGGCCGCCTCACACGGTAGTGTGACAGGCTTATCCACAGCAATGATATATTCCTTTGGATGGACGCTGATGACAGGAGGAACTAAAATATACAAAGTTCAAATTTCATTTTAAAAGTATGAATGTACCATTCACACACTCCAGTACTCCCCTAGCAAAGTGAAGTCTCAGAGATAAGAAATAAAATCCTGACTTTAGCATATCATCAAAGGGTCAAGTTTGTTTTCATTGACCTCATTTCAGAAAAGTATTCTTTATAGAGTTAACAAATGTCAACAACAATCAACTTTAAATAAGGATAAAAACATATATTCCCAAGGAATTCCATGTCCAGAAAATTTAGGCGGCGTTGATAGGCACTTCTTTAACTGCATGTACTGTGTGATTCACTTCAGCTATTTAAGCTTTCAAAACAGACCCCTTCAAAGTTTGGAAATTATTTAACTGCTCTCTACGTATGCATTTTCTATGGTACTTAACTATGGTGTCTCATATACAGTGGCCAAATTTAATGAAGTATTACTTGAATGAATGAGTAAATAAATGAATGGGTCATGGAAAAAAAAACCATATAGATAAAACTTTCCCCACTTTTTCAGAAAATTATGGAAGGGCTGATGATAAGGACTTCTCCTTCCTAGTGTTTACAATAGGTTGATTGCCATTAGGTATTGGTCTGGGTAATCTATTGAGACTTAAAGACAGCTTAAATTGGTATGAGAGAACAACCCACCACAAGCACAGGACAAAGGAAGGAGAGGAAGAGGATGGCCTCCCCACCTTCAAGGCCAGGGACGGTGACAAGTGCAGAGACAGCCATGATGGAAAATTAAAAAAAAAATCCCCTGAAATATCCACCACCAGTTCAAAAAAGCTTGAGAGACAAGGCCAACAATATTCATTGTTACCACAGGCTGATGAAGAAATGAAATCAGAAACAAGAGATCTCTGAGAACTCCACTCTTCCAAGTAAGACCCTCCGTCCATGGCCAGACCCAGGGGGGCCTAGGACTATCTGCCACATCTCCAGAGGCTACGGAGAAATGGTCAACTATGTCGAGACCAAATCTCAGGCTACGCTAAAGGTGATGAGTGAAATAAAATCTCCATGTTGTGAAAAAATACGAATAAGCATGTTACAATTATTTTTACCAACCAAAATTATCTGGTTGAACCTGTGCTTGCAATTACATACTGTATCAGCAAGGAGTGGCTGTATTCAGAACTGTTCCAGTCTCTAGAGCACACAATGATCTCTGGCTGCTTTTGGGATGTTGAAATGCTCTTAGTTGTTTAATGTGCTTCTTTGTCCCATAATTGCTCATATTGATAATTTTAATCAATTGGTGAAAACAAAACAGAACAAAAACCCTCCTCAGTCTGGAACTGTTCTTTTCCATGACCTCTGTATTGTCAAGACCAATGAAGTATTTCTTGGTCCTTACCCTACATGACCTCTCACTTTCATTCAACACAGCTGTCCACTCACTGGTTGAAACTCTCCTCTCCTACCCTCAGTCTAGTTCTCGTCTGACTCCTCAGCCCTCTCCCTTTTATCTTTTCCAGTGCCTTCTCCTTTCTGGGACCCCTAAACAATGCAGTGTCCCAGGGGGCTTTGTCCTTAGCTCTTTTCTATGCAAATTCTCAACCAATCTTGTGAATTAAAATGTAATGGTTACTTCCTCATTGATATTTTAGATTATATTTCTCCCTTGAGTCCTGAATTCATAAATATTCATCTCTCTCTACTTGACATCACTAGGATTTTGAATTGTTTCCCGCATTTAACATGATTAAGCACAAATCATGGTTTCCTTTCTTCTACCAGTTCCTTCCTTGCATTCCCTGTGGTGCAATCATCACTCAGCAGCTCAAGCCCAAAGCCCCAGTGATTCTTCTATTTTCCTAACCTCTCAAATCTGATTTATCAGTGATCATGGCCATTACACCTCCATACATATTCTCAACCCATCACTTTTTTTCAGTAACCCTTGAAACTCCCCAGTCCTGGCCAGACCATGATACCCTGCCTAGATGACTTTAATAGCTCTTCCAGCTCTAGTCTTGCCTTTTCTCTAAACTGTTAGCTGCATAGCGGCGAAAGAGATCATCCTAAAATCAAATCAGGGTTCTGGTTAAAGGCTTTCCAATGCAGAGACAATGGCATTTAACCTTCCTTCGGTCCTTCGGCCCTCCATGCACTGGCCCTGCCTTCTTTTCTGACCTCCCTCACTTTTGCCAGCCTCCCCCTCACTCATCACTGTCTAGCGGTTCTAGCCACACTGGCATGCTGCTTCTTACTCTTTCCGGTCTTTGGGCCATTGCACATACTGTCCTCTTTCAGACACTCCGCCACCTTACAGGCTCACCCTAGCTCATCAATCAAGACTCAGCTCACGTGGGACCTCCTCAAACAAAGCACTTAAACCCCTGAAGTGGTCCCCACGTTTCCCCATTATTCTCCACCTCAGCCGTTTGTTTTTTCTTCTGAATGGCAATTATCAGAATTTATAATTATCTTATTTGGTAGTTTTCTTCTTCTTCTCCATACTAGAAGGGAAGATTCATGTCTGTAATGTTCAATGTATTTCCACTTATTATCCCGATAAATATTTGTTGAAAAAGACAAAGAAATTAGATTTACAAGCTGCAGGGAAGTGAGCTTTGCTATAGTAATTACTTCATCATAAAAATAATCATGCTATAAGGAAATGCAAAATCAGAAAACTCAGTGGCTCAGAACCTATTTTCAGTGCACTTAATTCACAACAGCAATGCATAGGATAGGAAAATTATATCAAGGAAATTTGAGTTAAATGTGGAAAAAAAAACATTTTGTCTTGAGAACCATTTTCTTCCCATCAACTTGGTTTAATTGCTATTATAATATGTTTTTAGGTGGATATTGCAAGCTGATGTTTCAATTATGGAGAGAATGGCTTTAAAAATCTCCTTCAATTAACCTCATAAAAATAATCATGCTATAAGGAAATGCAAAATCAGAAAACTCAGTGGCTCAGAACCTATTTTCAGTGCACTTAATTCACAACAGCAATGCATAGGATATGAACATTATATCAAGGAAATTTGAGTTAAATGTGGAAAAAAAACATTTTGTCTCGAGAACCATTTTCTTCCCATCAATTTGGTTTAACTGCTATTATAATATGTTTTTAGGTGGATACTGCAAGCTAATGTTTCAATTATGGAGAGAATGGCTTTAAAAATCACCTTCAATGAAACAGAGTCCCAAACAGCCGTTCACAGAAGATCAAAATACGATGAGATGCCTTAGTTTTCTTATACAAACAAGGCCAAAAAAACCCCTCCCAAAACATACAATTTTTTTCTTCATAAGGGTCATAGATGACATAAACTGAGAGAGTTAACAACTATTTTAGACATATGAATGTTGGTATTCATGGTTACAGCAGCCGTGCAATGAAGACATACGGATTTGTGATTTGGGTACCTTGAACATTTAACTTGATTTTGCCCAAGGCTGTACCAGCTGGATTCTGAGCCACACACATGTAAGAGCCGGCATCCTCTCGCACGGCTCTGGAGATCTGCAAGCCGCCACCAGGAAGAACGGCATGGCCGTTGCCTACATCACAGGAAGGAAAGCGGAGTGAGAAGAATTTTTATTTTCATGAAAAAAAAAAATGACACTGACTTCTGAATCAGAAAGCACCGTCTGGCCACGGTTTTCTTGATAGAAACTGTGGGAGGTACCTGAAGTGATAACATTGATGCCTTCTTTTTGCCAAGTAATGAAAGGACTGGGTGTCCCTGTGGCTTCACATGGTAACAGAATGGGATTGTTTAGAATGACGTCCAGTTCACTTGGCTGAGGATGAATGGCTGGAGGCTCTAGGAGAACCAATGAACAGAAATAAACAATGCCACTCATTGGTGGCAGAAAAGTCTATCGTAGCTATGAGGTTAAACGTGCCCAGATTCATAATTCCAAAACTGCAATGATTTGACTGTCCCAGGGAAAAGTGAATACTGGCCACATTACATTTTTTTTAAGTCTTGCTGCTACTGTAGCCAGTTTCCATTAGAAGACCAAAAAACAGGAACAGGTTATAAAGACTCAAGAAGAAAAATAACTTGGGGATTGTTCTGTAGGGTTTATTATCTGTGTGTCTTCTTTAGTCTATTGAAGACTACCTACCAGGCTTTCTTATCCTCAACATATTACTGTGGTTCACAGCTCTAGAATAAACATGGCAAAACAAAACAAAAAGCCAACGCCAAGTTTTTAACGAGTCAATGGTCTTCCATACCCTGGACACGAAGGGTCACGTGTCGATGTGCAGAACCAGCCGCGTTCCTGGCGACGCAAGTGTATCTTCCCGCATGGCTCAATTCAGTGGCAAATAGTTCAACTGCTCCTAAAAAGAAAAAAAGTTTCCATGCACAGGGCATCCCTGTATTTCTGGTTCGATAAACGATGGTTCTCATCTCCATAGCACAGTGGTGCTTGGCTTATCTTCACACTTGTACCCCCTGAGGTGCCTAACAAACTACATTTAAAATCATCATTAACAGCTTTATAGAGGCAACCTTTACATATCATAAAATTCACCCATTCAGATGTACAATTCACAAATTTTAGTGTATTTACCATAATCGAATGCTAGAATATTTCCATTTTCCTAAAAAGAAATCTCATCCCATTTACAGTCACTCCTGCTCCCAACCTAGCCCTAGGCGATCACTACTTTCTGTCTATATATTTGCCTTTTTGGAACATTTCATACAGATGGACTCATACAGAAGTCTTGAGTGTCTGACATCTTTAACTGTGAGCACAGTTTTTGAGTTTCACCTGTTGTAGCATGTGTCAACCTTTTTGTTCCATTTTTATTACTAAATAGAATTCCATTGCATGGATTTATACACATTTACCAGGTGGTGGACAAATGAATTGTTTCTACTTTTGGCTATTATGAATTATACTGTATGAACATCTGCAAACAAGTATTTGTGTGGACACATGTTTTCATTTCTGAGTAGATACCTAGGAATGGAGTTGCTGAGTCATGTGGTCACTCTGTTTAACGTTATAAGGAAGTTCCAAACTTTTTTTTAGCACAATACTTTGTGCTGATGGATAATTAATGTATATTTTATGATGTTAATTGTTATGAACCTCTACGAGTTTCTGAGACAGCAAAATACTTTGCTTTGAAAGCCAAGTTCCACCCCAAGAATAAACCTCCCATTATTTCCCTTCTAGTGAAGAAATAAACAAATTCTTTCAGAGTAATATGCACACAATCAGAAAGCCCCTGGATGTTAGTTGTTGCTATATTTTATCCCCAGTGCACCTTCCCGATGCAGGATGAGCTTTTCAGAAACACCAAAGTGAACCACCTATACTTGCATATAAGTGAATTATTTTTCTCTCTCTTCAATACTATAGGTTTTTAATACTTAACTTTTATAAATATTGGCTACCACCCTCAAAAGTTATCCATTACAGCATTTATCATCCAGCCTTACCTGCTAAATTATAAATTGAAAGCAATAACCCTATATTGGTTTTATCATCCAAAACTACATGGTGTATGTAGTTTATTTTAGGCACTAAATGTTCTTCAAATAAATAGAACTTCTATTTGGCCAATGAAAGAAATGCGGTTCACTCAAAGTCAACCAGTGAATTTGTTCAACCTTAGATTTAGTAAATATGCCCATAAAATCCCAGTGATCATGCCTATTATATTCAGATCGGTCTTAGATATTGTTATTTTGTTTTTATACTTTTTCTCTCTTCCTTTCCCTAGGTCCCCTTCAAGCTCTCCCTGAATTATTTTCCAGCTGCCTAACTCCAGAAATGTAGATGTAATTTATTCTTTTATTTTGGTGCAAAAAAAGCCAGGTGAGGCCATCCATTCACAATGTCTGCAATCAACAACTGTGCAATCACGGAACTCGATCTTACCTGAGGACTGAATTCTGTAGCCATCTCCCCTGGGAAGCAGCCTTATACCATTTTTCATCCAGTGAACTGAGGGAAATGGAACTCCTGAGGCAGCGCAGGTAATGATTGTTGGGGTGTGTCTGGTTACTAGGAGGTCCGTAGGCTCATCAGCTATGGAAGGTGGGACTAAAATAACAATAATAACACAAAAAAAAGAAAACGCCATGTTTCCAACGCTTACAGGTTTCCACAGTGTTATCATACATTTTTTCTCTTTCTACACTGAAAGGAAATGTTAAGCGAGAGGAAAAGGAAGCCCCCTTGTGAGGCAGGAAGGATGAATGATGTCAGCATAACTTTCACTCCACACATTAAGCCAGCTCTACCTTGGACAGTGAGATCTACGGTTCTCTTGTCCTCTCCAGCATCGTTTGTCACAGTGCACTCGTAGGTGGCAGTGTCATCCACGGAAGGGGAAATAATTACCAGTGAACCTGAAGAAAGGAGCCTAGAAGAAAGATTTTGAAGCAATGAGATTTTATGTATCAGTTCACAGAAATGTTTCCTGTTGGTTCAACATGGTGCCGTGTTATGAACTGAGGGAAATGGAACTTTTCTCATGTTAAAATGAGCATCATTTATCTGGATACTTTAGGTACCAGACTTGAAGTTCCCATGGCAGTTGGTTAATAAGGCCTCAACCTTGACATCTATAGGAAGCGGTGGGTAGGCGGATTGTCTGAAGGGGGAGTCTTGCATTTTCAGGATGCTTCTATCATGATCAGCCATGCCCTTCCTTCTAAGTGACTATAGTGCAAAGGGCAGGCTGATGAAAACCTGTTTACTGAGCACTGCATACATTCCTGGCACCTTCTCAAACGCTTCACATCAGTTATCTCTAAATCTCACCAATAACTTTGCAGGCTGGTATCTGGGTATTTCCATTGATAGATGGGAGATCACCAGTCTGTCTTGTACCTTTCCCTATTTCACATGTCTCCTTACCTGTGTTGGATACCTTGGAGATGCATAGTATATATATATCAATATGTCTTCTCCTTCCAACCAATTTGAAACTAAAGTGTTTAGGAGGCTTAGTAAATATGCATACATTATTTAAAGTAACCCTAAATAAAAATATCTATTTTTTTTCAAACTGTGCACTGGCAGTATAGAAACAATTGGACTGACTGGGAACATATTTAACATGTTTTTTAATTCAAGGGCATCGTACATTTTTCAGATAGTGTGTACCCTCAAGTCACTAATGCCCAATGTCAAAAGATTCAAAGGCTGAGAAAGAGAGGGGAGGGACAGCAGTTTAAGAGAAACACTCCTAGCCTCATATTTCTTGATGCATTAGAATTGATTTTTGTCAAAGATCTTTCCAAAGAGAACTTTTTTTTCAGGTACTATTGCATATCCTTTGATAACTATTAACTTAATTGTTAACTTAATTGATGCTCATCTAAAGCATCAGAAATTCATAGTGACTTAAATGTTAAACTTTAAAAATAACACACTGCCATATTACCCAGAAATAAACCCAGAAAAATGGGTTTTCTGGGTAATAAACCCAGAAAAATGTAAAGAGAAAAAAAAAGGAGAAAATGCTGTTTTTCCTTCCAAACATGCTGCCAAATACCTAAGTTGTGTTTCAAGGTATAAAATTTGAGCTTTATTGGACAAGTAAAACTTGAATTGTTTTTACAGAATAATTTTTCTTTTGTACTAAATCATGCGATCATCCTTTGTCTTTATGAAATGCCCAAAGGTGCTAAATAAACAAACAAACAAAGAAAACTACAAAAAAACCAGCAGAACAGAAATCTAATCCTGTAGACCTCACTAACAGACTTCAGATAGAAAGGATGCATGAATGATTCAGAAAAAGATTTTGGGTTGGAAGACTAATTCCATATATAAAAAAAGAAATACTTTCTATACACTAGCTAATTCTTCATACTTTAAGTTATTTGTTGTCTTCATAGCAAGATATAAATCTTAATTATCTTTTAAATATTTTTCTAAGTAGAAGGTGGGATTTGTCAATGAAACTACTTCTTACCTGTAGGAATTCTGGTTTTGATCCACATTGAGAAGGTGCCCGTTTTTTCTCCAGCTGATGGATGGTTTTGGTATGCCAGTAGCCTCGCAAGCCAGAGTCGTTTGAACATTCACAGTTACAGTGATGTTTGTAGGGCCCAGAGCAATAGACGGAGGAACTAAAACAGTCACCAAATAAGAGGGAAACACTCAGCAACTACTATGCTGTCAGAAGTATTTCTCCCCAAGCAAAACTAGTCATTAGTCATTTTGTGCCTCGTAGTTACAAAAACAATACCACTGTGTGCATTTAGATAGTGTTGTGATGGCACCATTCATAATGAGGAGAAAACATGGGTCTTGCCTGTTCATAATATAGTGTAATACATGTAAATAGCCTTGGATAGCAAAGTCTTTTTAAAAATATGTATATTTCACTTTTTTCTTTTTCATTTTTTTGTTAATTCTCACCCGAGGATATATTTTTTTCCAGGGGTTTTAGACATGAGTGGAAAGGAGAGGGAGAGAAACATCGATGTGAGAGAGACACATTGGGGCCAGGGATTGAAACCTGAGCTACGTGCCTTTGACTGGAATCGAACCCGGGACCCTTGAGTTTGCAGGTGAGTGCTCTAACCAGTGAGCTACCAGCTAGGGCTATGAAGGTCTTTAAGACCTTACCGGTTTAGGGTATCAAAGAACATGTGACCCAAGGACTGGATGTTGTTCATAGAAGTGTACTCACCATGGACTTGTAAGTCTATCCGCCTGCGGTCGGTCCCAGCAGCATTGGTAGCCATACACAAATATCGCCCGGCATCGCCGACATGTGCTGCCTGGATGTGAAGGAATCCATTTTCCAAGATGGAATACCTACAAGAAAGATCACAATGAAGTCCCTCGCATCAGCCTGTTCTGATGACTCACATTTTGACCGAGAGCACTTTTCAAGACTTAGTTCACTCCATCTCCGGTCTTTTTCCTGCTTCAGAAATTGCCAACATGCTGGTGGAAACGAGGGCTATTCTACAAAGGTGCACAGCAGATGGGATTGTGATCTTGGAAGGATGGTCATCGTTATGTTTGGGATATCAGTCTTGGGAATTATGCTTTTAAAATACTATGGTTTGATTCTCATATTAAGATGAAGAGACCCATTCTCATATACCAAGTTCAAAATAACGCATTGGGCACAAGATTTAAGGATTCGTATTTCAGTTCCTACAGTAGTTCTCACCCCTCTCCAGAGCGGTTACCTCGCGTGATTGCCAGAGAGAACAGCCCCGTCCTTTCTCCACGTAGTCCTCGGGGGTGGCACACCTTCAGCCAAGCATTCCAACACGGCTGACTTGTTCAGGTGAATGACAAGGCTCTGGGGGCCACTCTTGATGTTTGGAGGAACTGCACGAGAGATGCATGTGGAGGACTTCATTGATGTTAATAACGCAGCCTGAACTAAGTAAGACTTTGAAGCCATAATACAAGGTGAGCTTTGAGTCACATCTATAACTTTGCCCACAGCTCATTCAGGTTAGTCTAAATAGAATCGGGGTTTTATTCCTAAAATATTATTCGAGGTATTTGTGTTTAATAATCAAGTGTAGATGGGGGAGGGGGTGTTAAATCCCTTATATGGTGTGTGAAATCTGGCTTTCTAGAAGAGAGGCTTACATAAAAGTCAGCTTTAGTCTGATGCAAATTAAAGATGATATTTCTTATTTTTCTTGGGCCAAATAATGGTCAGAGAATGTTAACACTGGCACCACTTCACGTTAAATGAAGAACAGAAAGTGGGCTGTTTTAACAAAAAGCACATCTGTGATTAATCATGCAAGTCTCAGAGCATGCATTTTATTAATCATCAAATGCATATGGGAATGGGGAACCTGAATTTTAATTTTAGTAGTATCGATATTAGTTGTGTGGGTCACCTAATATCCTGCAAAGTTTCATACACTAAAAATCCAAAGGGACTGTTCTGGTGGGAAGTCTGTATTATCTTCCTCAAGCTTGGCAAAGCTTAGTGTTTAGATTTTATGTTCGATAAAATTGAAATTCAATGGCGGTTTCTGTCTAGTACATGTATACTGAAACACCAACATCAATAAAGGTGAACGAATCTGGCCTGCATGGCTCAGTGGTTGAGTGGCCCCTATGGACCAGGAGGTCAGGGTTCAATTCCCAGTCAGGGCACATGCTGGGTTGTGGGGGTGTGCAAAAGGCAGCCGATCAATGATTCTCTCTCATCACTGATGTTTCTATCTCTCTCTCCTTCTTCCTTCCTCTCTGAAATCAATAAAAAAAATATTTTAAAAAAGGTGAACTAAATAACGGGCCACTTGTCATTTGGAAATTTAGTGTATTAACCTCCTGAATGGCTCTGATCTGAATGACATGAAACATTAGGATATGCTGATGACAACTGGGCACATATTATCCTCTAAGCTAGAGTAATATGTCTTTAATTAATTTTTTTGAAATTGAGTTAGTCTGAATATGGCCACAATACAAATACTACATGTCTTTTTCTAAAGAAATAGGAACCATGAGAATTAATATACTCATTAAAAAGATTATTACCTACTCAAATGTCCTTCGCTAAATTTTTAAATTGTGAACCAATGATTAATTTTTCTTACCATTGACAGTGAGAATAAAGTCTCTTGTAGTCTTTCCTGCGATGTTGCTGGCAGCACAGGTGTAATTGGCTGTATCACCTGGGTCCGCATTGTTCACTTGCAAGTATCTCCCCCCAGATAGGATTCGGACTCGAGGTGTTGCCTGGATTCAGCAAGTAAAATAATATCATTAAAATGTCAGGACAAGGAAGTGAAATGTTACTTATATAACATCAACAGTCACTGTAGTAAACTGTAGAGCGCCTATTTTCCAGTACACGTTGTCTGCTCCCCCCACCATTATCCTGTTATCAAAACTCAGGAGGACCCTGGCCAGTGTTTGTTAGTGGTTAGAGCTTTGGCCCAGACATACCTGGGTTGCCGTTCCATCCCAAGTGCGGAGGCAACCAATCGATGTGTCTCTCTCATATCTGTTTCTCTCTCTCTTTTTTTCTCTCTCGCTCTCTCTCTCCCTCTCACTCTCTCTCTCTCCCTACCACCCTTCCAACTCACTCTAACGTATCAATGGAAAAAATATCCTCAGGTGAGGATTAACAAAAAACAAAAAAACCATGAGAACAGCATAGATGCATAACCCATGAACACAGACAACAGTGCTGTGAAGGCCTGGGGGCAGTGGGAGCAGGGTGGAGGGAGTCAGTGGGGGGAAAAATGGACATCTGTAATACTTTCAACAATAAAGATAGATTGAAAACAACATACACCCAGGAGAACCATGTCTATGAGTGTGGTTAAGGCAGACATAACACACGTCCCCAGTTCTCCTGGCCACAGTGATCCACTCAAGGATGGGCAGGCCACTCAAGCTGAGAATGGGAAGCTTTAGCGAGCCAGTAACTTGGTTCTTCAAGGATTCCAGTCCCAGACTCCAGATGTTGCACAGGTTCTTGGGGCTACTCGTGAGGGGCCAGGGGAGTTAGTAACAGGGCTGCTGTAGAGACTTGGCATGACAGGTCAGTTCTTTTGAGACTCTGAAGGCTTCTTCTCTCTCAAGGTCAGAAACAACCGAGTGTTTCAAACCCCACGGGAACCCATGGGCTCCAGGAGATACATGCTGGCCCAATTTGTGGCGTGTCTGGGATCACAATACCTATCTCCTGACCCATAACTAGTTACTAACTACCCAGGTTAAAGTTGAGAAAAGAAGGCGGATACAAGGACCCTGTGCCCACCCCTGCAATGTTGAAAAACTAGTAGCCCGATGTTTGGTTTTGTTTACCTAGCCAAGACCCCACAACTGATTTTTTTTCTCTCTCAAAATGAATCCTTGGAAGTTACCAAGACTTACCTGTAACCGTTCTCCATTTTTAAGCCAAGTGATTACAGGTGGGGGCACTGCATCCGATTTGCATTCCAGTGTCACTTGTCTGTTCCGTAACACAGTGAAATCCTGGGACCCATCAGTTCCGGCAATATTAGGGGGTACTGCGTGTGAGGAAAAATACACCACAGGCTTTCAATAAATGAGATGTAAAACGACCTGAGTTATAATATGTAATCAACAAATATTGCTTCTGCTGTGTGAAATAAAAGGCATTAATAAAACATTACTCATTCAGTTTATGGTACAAATGATTACAAACAGTGGCATGTGTTTTTACTTACTTAATGCTTTTACATACAGTAAGTAATGAAATTCTTCCAAGCCACATGACTAACATAATCACATTAACATCACCATTTAACAAGTAAAGAAACTCTGGCACAAAGAAGGGATTCCATGTGCGGGATACACTTGGTAATGATTTTCCCTGAACATCAGATTTTAAAACCACTAAATTAGGGTTTGTCTATAAAAATATACAGAAATGTATATATTTTTCTTACTATGCAGAAATATATCTTTTTAATATAACATATTATAACACACACTTTACATGTCAATAGTGGCAGGTCTATTTGGTATGTAGGGCAGGTGGATGGAGGAGGATACTCCTGTATTACAACAGTCCTACAGTTTGCACTGCCTCGTCACTTAGGTATTTTATGAGAATCAGATACAAATGTGCTTAGTTTTTTAAAAAGCTCCTTTTCATGAAGAGCAATTCCTATTTCTATGCCAGAGAATAACTGGTCCAACTTTTTAGAACATAATTTGGCCTTAAATGTGTGTGTGTGTGTGTGTGTGTGTGTGTGTGTGTAAACAAGCAAGATATTTACAGGAATTCATCAAAATAAGATAATTAAGAAATAGGTCAACATGTATATGCAAGGATGTTTATAACAGTGTTGCTTATACTGGTTTAAATATAAAAACAACCTAAATATCCAAAAATAAGTAATGGGTTAAATAAATGATGGCATATACGTTAAATGGAATACTGTGCAATTACAAAAAAGTAATTGTATAAAGATATATTTTTTGACATGAAAATATATTCACCATTCCATTAAGTGAGATTGAGAAACAGGTTAACTATTATATGCTCTGTGACCACATCTCTGTGATAAAATATTAATATGCAAAATGGTCTTATCTTTGTGTGGTAAGATTATGAATTAAGTAATTTTTCTTTTTATCATAATTTATATTCTGATTTTAAATATGAATTATTTGTGCAGGATCAAAAGAAGTAACAAAATCCAATGAACTATTCCTTAAAAGCATTTGATCAGTAAAATATAAGCATCAGATTTGAAAAATACATATTTCCTAATGCATAATCATATCTTATGATCCACTGTGGAGTTGCCTCATGTTGCATAAAATATGGCTTCTAACTAGGTATTAGGGTAGGATGGGCTGACTACTAAACATTTTGCCAAATTTACCGTGCACTCTCACTAAATATTCTTTATCATCATCTCCTGCAGGGCTGGAGGCCAGGCATGTATATCTTCCTGTATCTTCAACCTACAAAAATCCAGGTATGTAAATTACACAATGTTACCACGTTAATTTTGATGATGAGAATAAATATCCACTAGAATGAATTTGAAAATCTCACACCAAGTAAGATTTCATTAAGATGGCGCAATAATTAATATTAATAAACTGTTTTAACATTTGTGATTAGCATTCATTTATCACACATTGCTTGGCATCTCTATTCTATGTAATTCTATGTTTTAACAGGGTTTTGGCACTTTAATCTCAGAATAATTGCATGTTAGGTATATTTCATGACCTCAGGAAAGGCAGATATGTACATGACACACTGGACACTCAAAGTTTATTAAGGAAACAAGTATTTATGAGTTTGAATTTCACACTGAAAACTTCAAATAGGGTCTTCCTGAAGAAAATAAAAATTAAGTAAATAAATGAATAAAAATATCAGCTTACATAAATAAAGCACATGAATGCCACATGTTGAATATACCTTTGAGGAAACAATAGGGCTATATTATGTAATTTGGCTGCAAAGAGTGTTGACTGACAGCTAAATCTATTATTTTCTCACTAAAACCAGAAACATTTCTTTAAAAAAACCTCAAGCATAGTTTCCACTGAAGTGTTAGTCTTCATTCATAATGGCCCATGTTTATGTGTGTGTAAAGTATACTCTGGAAAATAGATGATCTTACTACTGTGAAAAATCTATTTTGGAAAAGTAGGAAAATCTTGTTTTCATTTATTTTACTACTTGAACATTCCTAGTATATTGGAAATTTTAGAATTCTTACATTCAAAACTGACTTTATAGGTTATGGAAAAAGTTTTTTGGTAGGCTGCAAAAACTCCTTTGAAAACATTTAAGACCAGTATGTTAAGACTAGTATTTTTGGAAAAATACTTAAACACAACTTTAGAAGAATGGCACTCACCAGTTCCTTCAATTAAGAATTTAAAATGCTGTGCTACTGCCTAGAGCAGTGGTTCTCAAACTTGGCTGCACATTAGAATCACCTGGGAATCTTTTTAAAATCCTGATTTCTGGGCCTCGTCCTCCAGAAATTCTGTTTCTTTGTTACTAATGTTGTGGCCCCACCCCATAACAAAGAAACAGAATTTTCCGGAGGACGAGGCCCAGAAATCAGGATTTTAAAAAAGATTCCCAGGTGATTCTAATGTGCAGCCAAGGCTGAGAACCACTGGCCTAGAGAATAATTTCTGAATTTCTCATCATATTTTCAAAACCTCTAAAAGTCAACTCTTCTCAACCAACTCATTTTATTCCCAAGTAATACTTTCCCTGCACTTGTCCTGACTTAGCCAAACTTGAACCATCATTCATGATTACTCTTAAATCTTGCCTTCTCCAAGAAATATTTCCTGACGACTTAAGCCCTTCAGGATATCAACGGTCATTATTTGTAGCTACATTTTCTAGGATGCGTTCTGTTAATAGGGTGTTTGAAAATTATAGCTGATCAGTTTTTTTAGAGGAAGACTTTTCAGAGTTGTTGACAAGTGCTATGGCTCACAGAGGAGGAAAGGCACAGTCCATAGGTTTCCAAGTCTACTTGGTCATACAATTCTTCCCTCTTTGGAATAAATCACAGATGAATGTTTGACAAAAGATGTCTTAGGAAACTCTTGACTCTACCACACATTTTGGAATTTGCACAACATCCATGATGTGCCAGGCAATCTGTATGTTATAGATACGTACATGAAAAGACAAAAGTAAAACATGATTTAGTAAGTGCTTTAAGCGAGATGTGTATAAAATGTTATGGAAACAGAGGCATGGAGGAACCAAGAGCAGTCACTTCTATGTTTTTAATGGTTTTCTTATTTCTTTTCCTAATTTTATCATACATGTAGCTTTATTTCTCCTAGACAACTGAAAGCTCACTGAAGGCTGAGAAATGTCTTATGGGTTATGCTGGTATTCTCCACCATAGCCAGAACATGTGGGTCACCGTTTAACACTCTATGCACCTCTGTCTTGTTTGGTTATAACCCAACTTTTCATTCTTGCATTTAAGTCCTACTGCGATGTGGCCTTAATCTCCCTCTTAAGCTTTATCTATTTATTCCTTTGCATTTATGATTCTTTTATAAATGTATGATTTATAATCCACATGCGTTCCTGTCTTCATGCTATTCTTTATGTTACAAAATTCTTTTACTTCCTTTTTGGCCCATTGAAATTATAGCATTCAAGTGGTTTGCTGATTGGACCTGGGTTTTCTCTGGGTTACTGCAATGTCTGATGGAGAGAAGAGGGGAATGGAGGGCGTGTTCTCCTTGGTGTTAGAAATGGGAAGTGTGCCGAGCTCCATCACTGAGCAACAATAAGTACTCGGCAGGCAAGTACTTAATCTCTCTGGATCTGTTTGTGGGCTTATAGGATGGGGACAAAGCCATGGCCTCATAGAGTTGTCATGAGGATCACCATTATGATAGACCCATAGCTGAACACAGGACCAGCACAATTTATAATCCTCAGCTCTCTTTTCCCAGCTCCCCTTCCTTCTTTCCTCTTTCCTCAGTGAAAATGCTAACAAAATATGATTAAATAATTTGCTATTCTATTTTAAAAGGGATGACGATTATAACAACAATAATAGCAGCAGCTAATTCTATCTAACTCTGTTTTAGAATCACTACATGCCTGTGGCAACAGTCTAAGCACGCATGTTAGATTATCTCTAAATCCCCAAGTGCACAAGTTAGGTATTATTATCATTTCCCCCCTCAGTTCACAGATGAGAACACTGGGCCACAGGTGGGCAATATTTGTAATATAAGGCTTGTCTTTATTAGAACAGAAGACACTAAGATATCCCAGACATATTCCCCTTCAATAGAATCACATTTCTGATTAATTTCCTTAAACACAAGGAAATAACAGTCAATTTTACTTAATCGTTCAATCATTTTTTAAAAAATTGTGTCTCTTTAGATTTTCGGTTATGATAGTTCATTTTGAAGATCAAAAGTGCTCTTTGAGCCCTAACCAGTTTGGCTCAGTGGATAGAGTGTTGGCTTACGGACTGAAGAGTCCCAGGTTCGATTCCGGTCAAGGGCATGTACCTTGGTTGCGGGCACATGCCCAGTAGGGGGTGTGCAGGAGGCAGCTGATTGATGTTTCTCTCTCATCGATGTTTCTAACTTTCTATCCCTCTCCCTTCCTCTCTGTAAAAAATCATAAAAATATATATATTTTTTAAAAAGGTGCTCTTTGAGGCTTCATATATATGTATGTTGAATTGCTTTTTGGCAGTTCCATAAAGTGCTACATGGCACAAATTAACAGCTTCTGAAAATCTTTGATCAGTTATAACACTGAAAATTTATAAAAGTTAACGTGCAGATATCTTGCTTCCTTCTGAAAATCGATGATTTTACTACCCTGAAAAATGTGTTTTGGGGAAGCAGGAAACTCTTTGACAATTCTTTCTAGTCACGTTACCTTGTAAGTGTCTACCCAGACGTGTAGGACCAATCTATCGTTGCTAAAGTTACAGAGAGCTGTGATATATTCCAATTCAAAGATAAAATTTTCCCAACATTTCTCAGATATCAGCAAGGGAGAAGCTGACCCAAGGATAAAATAATTGTATGAGCTGAACTTACCTGACTACTAGATATTCGAAGAACCTCTCCGCCTCCAAGAGTTTGTACCTGATCTGTCTGGGGAAGGGGCCGTCCATCTTTCATCCAGGAGATTTTAGGAGCTGGGATTCCAGAAGCAATGCAGGTAAGTTCAAGTGGATTATTAACAATCACTGATATCTCTGTAGGTTCTTCAGATCCATTGATATGAGGTGGTTCTATTTAAAGGAAATTAGAAACAAAATAAACTTGCTGTTTCATAAAGTACTGCTGGTTAGAAAATCTTTAAAAGAAAACTTGACTCAAATTTATGGTTTAGCCCAGCCTGCATGGCTCGGTGGTTGAGTGTCGACCTATGAAACAGGAGGTCACGGGTTCCACTCCCAGTCAGGGCACATGCCCCAGGTTGCGGGCTCAACCCTAGTGTGCGGTGTGTAGGAGGCAGCCGATCAATGATTCTCTCTCATCATTGATGTTTCTATCTCCCTCTCCCTCTCCCTGTCTCCCTGAAATCGATAAAAATATAAAAGAAATTTATGGTTCATATGATACAATCTAATTAGAACAGGATACCAAAATAATTACTAGATGTTATTGCCATTTTAAAAACGGCAATGCTTTAAAAAGGATGGCTCATGGGTATAACACATCACAAAGGAACAAGTCATTACAAAGTAGCTACATCTCAGTAATTGGGGTTCAGATCATTAGAGCAGTCTTACTTAACTGTGAAGATTTGAAAAGAATAAAAAGTAAGCCCATCTTTTTCAAAGAGCGGTACTTAAACCCAGTAGTGTGTTTCTGCACCCTTCAAATAGCTGCTGCTTCTACAAAAGCAATAGGCAAATGCTATGGAATTTTGCTATCAGCTCTTCAATGCAGAACTTTAAGAGGAAATGATCACTAAGCAGAAGAAAAAATAGTTACATTTGGAGACTATTTCTGCATAAAACACATTTGTTATGTCTGGGCAGAAACTCTTTTTCGTTATTTATACTTCTAAATTATCCTTCTCAAGGGGATGTTAAGGAATCTAGACCCTTGAAAGGAACAACAAGGTTTTCAGTTCAACTGTTTCTAAGTTTAGGAATGCCTTTGAAACAGACCTCCCTTACAAAGATCATTCAAGTTTTCTACGAGCATTTCCAGCTTACTGTTTCGTAAGGCCGCCAAAATCGGTTGGACAGCTCCAAACATTAACTGTCTTCTTATTTTATTTTATATTTTAAAATCAGGCACATAGTTTACAACAGAGGCTCACAGGAAAGGAGCTGGAGTCAAACTGCCCGAGTTTGAATCCTGGCTCCAAAAATTCGTAGGTCGGTGAATTTGAACACATCTCAAAATATAGATGGTACTATTATTTCACTATAGGATTGTTGTGAGGATTTAATGAGGTCATCTAGGAACAATGTATATTTCTTTTGTGTTTCTGAATCTGTTTTATTTTATAATTAAGGTTTTAAAAAAGTTATTACTATTACAATGCCTACTACAGCTGTTGGTATTATTATTAAAACCTGCCTCCTAAAAATTTCTACCCGTGGTCATCATTTTTCTTTCTGGAAAAAGGATATATTAAATATGTCTTTGTTTATAGATTATAATTAAGAAATCAGACAAAATACATTTCCTTAAGTGTATTTTAAGTTGATTCATTATTTCTTGCTTAAAAGATTTGTGTCTCCATGTTGTTTACTGAGTTAAATAAAAGCTCTGTATTACAGTTCCCAAGGCTTTCATAATATGGCTTAATCTATCTTTATAATATTATCTACTTTTAATATACTTGTCCTTCAACAAATTCAGTGCTTTCTTGTTCTGTGACTTTTCTAATGCTATTCCTTCCAGTGGAACAGTGTCCACTAATCTCATTTCCTAACTGAGCATATTCAAGGACAACCAAGGTCACATTAATGTCATTAAGTTCATTTGTAAAACTATATATCCTTCCTTGATTATCTCAACAAACTATGAAATTTCTATCCCTTCTCATTTCCATAGTGTGTTGTCTGTATCACTCAAAAGCATGTCCCTGATTCTTTTTCTGACTCTGGTCAACTCTTTATTCCTCTCACTTGCTGTGTATTTACTGTGTGTCAGCCACCGTGGATAAAAAGATTAGTTAGGCCTGGCTTTTATCCTCAAAAGATTCTAGTCACTAGATTTAAAATCACAACAATAACAACATGTTCCCAAATGACTCAATCCCCAGTCACCAGAGCCTACAGGTGCTAAGTGATTGTGAACTTCTGCACTCTGGGTCTTGTCCCGAAGTCTTGTATCCGGGCGGCCTAGGCATTGTCCACAGTCTCAGGAGTCCAGAACTTTATTTCCAGCCTACATCTCTCATCTGAACTCCAGACCCAGAAAACTAATGATTTAGATAAACGTCTTCAGTGGGACGTTTGAAAATGACTTCACCTCAACCTGTTGCCTTGCTCCTCAAAACCTGGTCCTTTTCCAGCAGTCGCTGCATTTATGTGAAAGGTCCACCCATCATTCAGTCATGTGAGCCAGAAACTAGGAGTCCCCCTTGATATCTTCTTCACCTGTGTTCAAATCCACACCTAAGTCCTAACACTGCTACCCGCAATTCTTACCAGAATACATCTTCTTCTCACCTCCATCACTAATCTGAGCTTAAAAACACTTACTTGGACCCATATCTCCTCTCTGCTGGCTGCAGGTGCCTACCCAATATCAATTATTTGTTTCTTTCACGTTAACAGACCCTGATTTTGTTGTGGTTGTGCCTCTTCAGGAGA